GATGGACAATCTGGAATATTACCACACTTTCAAAACATTTTTCACTTTTTTGTACTTCATTTTATTGTCATTCATTGGCTGATAGATACATCCCTGCCATTATATCTACAAAGAGCTAATATTGGTTGACATATCAGCTAAAACATCTCAAAAAGTAAATACATAGTTTGTTATTAGACAGTTGGACAGATCTCAGGTTTTTTTTCTCATATGTTCACACACCAGTTTCTTTACCTTCAACCTCAATTAGCATCTCTCTCCAGTCCTCTTGTTCATTTCTTTCATTCATTCCTCGTTGACACCACTAAATGACACGTTGGATACATTTGCTTACGGATTTGATGAGACATCCATAACAGCTACTGTTGCTAAATGCCAAAACTCTGGAGGCAAATGTGATTCATGCATTGCAAACAGCAACATCATTGCAGAATACACTGACAAGAACTCAGTTTGTTGAGAATAAAATGTGAAAATAAGGTTCATGAGGGAGTGTGAATGCCACATAGCCTTTTTTATCAATGGTCTTGACATATAAAACCAAGTTTGATCTTGGTGCCTCTGGTTAGGGGGCGAGGGAGTTTGGTAGGCAGAGATGGGTCGACAGATAGGTGGAGAGAGAGAGATGAAGAGGAGGGACATGTAACAGTCACAGAGATGAAGGGGTGAGGTGGAAAAAAGTGACAGATGCAAAGATGAAAGATGGTTCAGCTGGAGAGACCCACAACACACACACACACGACATGTTGTCATCTGTTATTTCACTCTGTCCAAACTATTTGAGTTTGGTTTTCTTTACAGCAGAGCAGTACAACCTCAGAAAGGTTTTAATAAATAGGCCTAATTTATGATTTAGCAAATGAATATACAATTACCATAATGTACCAAAGTGCCAGTTGCTATTGATAGAGTTTTATTGGTACAATGTACTATTTGGCCATATATCAACATGTGATTGATTTAATAGTGCCATGGTAACCAAAGCTGCTGAGTGAATGATGAAGTCACTACAGAGTGAATAACACCACTGCAAAATTAAAACAGTGATGCCAGGCCAGCTTTGTTCTAGAATACAAATAGTTCAACTTGTCAGGGTTGGAGCGGGAAGCTGCCGATAACGCCGTGGGTGAACTCAATTAAATAGCCAGACGAGGATAAGTAAAGAAACACTGTCTCTTTATTAAGAGTACTGACAACGAACAAAAATGATACAAGACACGGTTTAACCACAAAACGCACTTACAGGTCGATAATACAGTCCAGGGTAGGAACCAGCAAACAGCACATTCAAGGAATCCAAAATGCGTTGTCCAAAAGGGAAGTCCGATAAGCCGATACTGGTATAACAGAGAGTACTGGTGTAAACTGACTAACTAGAAAAAAAAACCATTTACAGAAGAAGCTAGGAATGCATATCAGTGCAAAGAAACATTTACTGTAGCGTCTTTAGTGTGACAAAATGATAGCTTCTAGGCCAGGAGCAGTGATGTTGCAAATACCTTTAGACAACAGAGAAGTTTCATTCAAATTATGCAGATTTTGGCCTCTAATCTTCAAACAAATGTTCTTTAGATTAGTTGAATGAAAAATGTGGTAAATCATCATGAAAGGACTGATCCAGTCATTCATCTGAAGATAGTAGAAAATAAAGTGTCTCTGAAGCTTCTTGAAGATTGTAAACTTATAGGACCTTTGGAAGAAACACTGAATATGACCGTATTCATTACAGGGTCCTTTTTTAAAAGAATAAGATTAGAAATGAATAGTAGGCGCAACCATTAATTCCTTCTGTAAAGGCCTGGATAGAACAGAAACCTTAAGCTGTAAATCTGCAGTGCAGTGTTGTACACAGACAAACAGATGACTGCAAATACTCAAATTTAGATGCTGTTCTCCTCCTGCTTCCTGACCTGATTCAATAATTCAGTAGAAGCTGGCAATGGGCTCAATCCATGGACTCTGTCAATCATTACACACAAGCACTCTCACACACCGTTTGTTATGCTTCACAGTTTTTACACCTTTGCAATTAAACACCCCAAACAAGCTTTACAGATGTGACTCCATGAGAAAAATGAATTCTTTTACATCCAGACTGCATGTACAATCTTGTTTGACCAGGTCTGAGAGTGTTAAAGGTTTGTTTTGCATGTACTTCTGACAGGGACTACAATATGTGCATGTGCATATGTTTGAGAATCTGTGTGTGTTTTCCAGCTGTACAGCCAAGGCAGTCTCACTGTTTAATGAGTGGAATGAAAAGTTAAAGTATTGCTTTCCACACAATTAACACTAAATTTGGTTAAACTCATAAACATTCAATTACTGTATATGTTTTTCCCACATTTTTTAAAGCACAGAAGCAGATTTGTAGTTGTAATGTATATACTTAATAAAAACACCTTTCAGCCTTTTGGAGCATGTTTCCTTTAGGCAATAAAGAGTTTTCTAATCTTTGAAACCAAACCTATGAAAACAATTTGCACTAGTGGCTGTGGCTGTTCACAGCAGAGATCATTGCTGCCAAATTTAGGTGAATATTATTTATTTACTCACATCTATAGTAGTCAGTGATCCATGTTATCATGCATCATTATAATACTTCGTAGCTCTACTCAAGCATTGGTGCCATCTGGTAAACTATATGTCCCCATGCACCTTGTGTTATCATTAAACCTGTATAGCACTGTGAATGATCTTGTTGGCTACATCCAACATGAAACATAAATACAGTATATGGTGTCTGTCCATGCAGTGAACTCTAAAATCAAGAATAAACAAGCTGTAACTCAGCAGACTTCCTGCAGCTGTGCAGCCTACTTGTGTCTTTTGCTAGTTCAGTTTCAGAAGGTATTGAATAATTGAAAGTAATTATTTTTAAAAGACATTTTTCATGGACAGAATTGGGGATTGTTCAAGCTTTTCTCCATCATCAGGAACCCACACAGAGTACAGTTACTGTGGCATTTCGCCCCAGTTACCCGGTCTCATTATAGGACACACATGCAGGTTTCAGAGTCCACACCAAAACTCGGTAGATGTAGTCTCGCCCAGGGGGTGCAGACTCATTAGACTGCACATGTTGTCTGTTCACACAGGGACTCTACAGGAACCTAACAACTGACCCACAGTTTATCCAATTCTCTTGTCTGGTGCAACTTTAATGCTTTGCGCTGTCATGGATTTCATCAAAGTTTAATGCTGCTGTGGCTGAAATTGTCAGATTGCTAAAAAAGATAGATTTGATAGTGAATGACACACGACTTGTGAATAGTAAATAATTTAATGGGATACAAAAATATAATAATGGTAGACATAAAATATATTTCTAGCATAGACAGATGTAGGTGACTTTTATTTGTCTGTGTTTGTAAATAGCTGCTGCAACAAAGTTTGGTGTGGAGCTACATAACAGCCTTGAACTATGTAGATTCCGCTTTGCAGGCAAATAGGTGATGCTTGTTTTGTATTGAGGGTGAAGCAACATTTAAAAATGTGAAGAAGTTCATAAATAAACAGATATTTGAAGAAGGTACAGTAGTAGATGATGATTGATGGTTAAAACACATGCAGGTTGCTGAATGTGCCCATCTGCCCATCTAGCACATGCATGTCTTTTTCCCCAGTGGATGCAAAGCTCATGCCTTTGCATGCAAAACAGGGTGTGGTCCTGCATATTAACACCAGTCAATCACTTTAGTCACTGACAAAGAGGCTCTGTTCTACCTGCATATGACTCTCCATTTTTCTAAGGTCATGTTGAGAGAGGAGAATTAGTAACCTGTATCCACAGTCCATATCTATCAGTTATTTTATGTTATCTATCTATTTACTGTATGTATCTAAATCAATTATGTTGTCAAATAAGATTTAAAATTTAACCAATTAACCAATTAAATAAACTAAGTACAGACAGTCATAGCTGTGATAGCAATCTGATGGCAGATTTAGGAAAGGTAGACATTGCTCATGTGATAAAGTGTAGTGCATGTATTTGTGCTGCTGTAGGCAGATTTCATTATTGCCTGACTGTGATAATGCTTTGTGCGTGTGTGCGATCCTGCTGATACCAGACACCACCACACTATTGATGTACACTCTAACTCTCCTCGACATTTACCTTTATCTCCTTCCGTCTTTCTCTTTTATTCCACATTCATCCACTTTTTCCTGTTTTTCTGCCTCCATTCTCAACCATTTTTTGTAATCTATCTCTCTATCGTCAGGTTTCCACCTTCTTCCTTTACTACTACTACCCCCTTGCCCCCTCTTTACTTTCTTTTTAGCCCTGTCTCCCTTTCACCTTACTCTTTGCCCTTATTCTTTTCCTCCCAGCTTCGTTTTGATCCCTCCGTCCTGCTTGCTCAGCTGGTACAGAAGCAGCCTTTATTTCAGCTGTGTCCTCTATCCTTTAAAGGAGGAAAGATGAAAAGCGAGAAGGAGGGAGGGATAGAGGGAAGAAGTGAAGCATGGACAGGAAAGAAGAGAAGAAAATCCAAATGGGAAAATGACATAAAAAAGAAGAACAGGGCAGGAGGGTAGGAGGATGAAGCAAAGCCAGGGGGTGG